TAGGGAAGCCGCACAGCATCACAGTGGTGTATCCGTCCTCGCCTGCCTTCACACCTGCCTTGCCCTTGTTGTCCATGGGGCTGGTTGGGGCACCGAAGGGCACGGCCACCCCCCATTGGCAGGCGGGAGAGGCCGCCAGGTAGAATCCAGGGACGAACGTCGGCGGTGCGAATGGCTTGGACTTCGCGCTGAGAGGTGTGCGGGCGGCTGCGGGCGTCCGCGGGATCAGCCCGCTCGTATTGCCACCTGTCGGCAGCGCGTAGCTCTGCCCCATGGCGGCGGCCGCCTTGGCGGGCGGCTTGCACGCTTCGGGCGGCTTGCAGACGTCAAGTAAGAGCAGCCCCTGGCTCAACTCGTTGGAAATAGGGCGGTCTTGAGACTCAAGGGCAGTTCCCGAGTTGGAGCTGCTGGGCTTGCCAAGGAACGGCTCGTCGTCCACCATGTCGGCCCAGTCCTGCTCGAACTTCTGGGCCACTGTAAGTGCCATCTTCAGAGATGATCGATAGTAATGTAGTTTTGTTGAACGTAGGAACGTTGTTTGCTGTCACAGAGGCCTGTGCTTGATCGGGCCGCTGGCTTGAGCCCACAACACCACGACCCTTCCCTCGTGGCCCCCAAGTCGGCGTCGAAGTTTGACTCTGTTGCCCGTGGCTGATGGCCTCACGTGGTGGCCCGTGGCCCGTGGCCCCCAGGGGCCTTGCAGCCCCCCTCGGGCCCCACCCAGATGGAAGCTCGGTGCGGACGTTGCCGCCCTTGGCCGCGACTTCGCGAGCCTCGCGTTACCCCGCTTGCGCCACCACCGCACCCTTCCCGGTTGGCCTATCGTGCCCCCGGCATCACTTGTCCAACTCTTGGAATCCATCCGCCACTGTGCCCGAGACACGGAGTGCAGTGTGCTCAGGTCATTTCGAGTCCATGGGCTTCCTAAGAAGTCTCCACACGCATCCAATAGGCCTCTGACCAATAACTCAGGCGCGGGGTCGGGGAGGCCCGACAGCCACTACGCACCTGTGTGTACATATGTGTATATAGATATAGATGTACGTCGCACCCCGCAGTTGCAGATAAGAGTGAGGGGGCGGCGGGGACGTCGGCAGTCTGCGAGGCTATGAAGAAGCCCGCCGCAGGCGCCTAATTTCCATGAGTTCTACAACGATCTCGCCGCAGCCGCCGATTTTTTCGTTAAGCAATGTGGGTGGGTCGCGGGGTGGGTCGCGGGTGGGTCGCGGGTGGGTCGTGGGTGGGTCGCGGGCGGGTCGCGAATGGGTCGCGGTTGGGTCACGGGCTGGTCGCGGGAAGTGGGTCGCGTGGCGGTTCGCTGGTGGGTCGCGGGTGGGTCGCGGGTCTGGTCGCGGGTGAGTCGCGGGTGGGTCGCGAGTAGGTCGCGGGCTGGGTCGCGGGGGGACGACGACAACAAACAACAAACAAGAAACAACAATCAACAACCAAAACACAACAAACAATCAAGTACAAACTACAAACAACAAACAACAATCAACAGCAACAACAGCAGCAGCAACAACAACAGCAGCAGCAATATTAGCGACAACTACAACCACAACCACAATCACAGCAACACTTACAACAACACCAAGAACAATATCACCAACAACAGCAACCACAACAGCAGCAGCAGCAACAACAAGAACAACCACAACAACAACCACAACAACAGTTTTAATTGCAACACCAACAACACAAACAACAGCAACAACGATGACAACAAACATCCGCACCGCAGAACCTCACTTCAGCCACGCGCCCAGGGACAGTGGATGACCGTTCGGCCCCTTACTCTGACTCCTCATCCTCCGCCTCGGGATTCAAACCTGGACGTTCGATCGCTCCTAGCTTTTGTATCGTGGGATGGGTCGCTGGAGGCCCGAACAGATGCCTTGAAGCCCGCCTTTGGACAGGTGTTTTGTGTTCTAGCCGGCCTTATCCAATTTGCGTCTATCTTGCATATTACGAGATCCTGGCGGGAGCCACCACAAGAACCCCCCCACGAATAGCTCAGATCTGGTTGCTCCATCTCTTCGTCCGAGGTTCTGAATTTGTGGACCTGGGCTGGCGCGAACCGGCTATGTTCGTTGCTCGGGAATCAGCAGGGCCCAAGGAATAAGCGGGGGAGGGGGGGGCCTTCTCGGATGGCTCGGAGCTCCGCTGTGATGCCGAGATGTTTTAAGAACCCTCCCTTGAAGACAGGGGTTTCGGCATAATCCGACGTGTGATTTTTGTTGTTCGGTTAGAAATGTCGAGGAGGATCCTTGATAATTTGGCGCATAAAACGCGCGAAATTGAAGACGGTTTGGAGAATGCCGAGAAGGAGCAGGAAATGGGGAAGGAGGAGGACGAATAGCATGTGAAAGGAACCCCCCCTCCCCATCTTTCTTCTTGTGGTGGCGGATGAAGACAGGCCCAGCAGACCATCTGCCGCAGGCTCGGGGCCAGTCGGCGCCAGCGCACGCGGCGGTCCAGGAGCAGTTCTTCTGAGCCTCGTACAACGCTCGCCGCGCGGGGCCTCTCAGCAGCCACGCATGCGTCTTCTCGTTCCGCCCCTCCTTATCGTCCTGTGTCGCGTTCGTTTCCTTCGGTGTACCTCCTCTTTCCTCCTTCCCTTCTTCACCTTCTCCCATTTCTTTTTCTCCTTCTCCTTCCCTTCCGTCGCCTTCCTTCTCCTTGTGTTCCTCCTTGTTTCTTTTCCTGTGTTCGCTCGGTATTTTCCTTCTTGTTCCTGCCCGAGTAGACAAGAGAGAACGCGGGAAGCAGGAGGTTGTCGCCCCGAGGGTTTTGGAGGCTGTCGGGTCCAGAGATCTCGGGGGGCCTCGGAAGGTGGAGCGAGCCCTGACGCGGCACCATTGGGTCTGCCGTGGTGTGTTTGGATGGCTCCGTGTGCCAGCAATGCTTTCGCCTCTCGCTTGTCTCCTTCCGAGTTCATCGAGCGAGAAGGCTGATTAATATCAGCTGCCGCTCGAGCTGGACTGGCATTGCTCGGGAGCGAGCTGCAGGCCCGCAGGCCGCCTCTCTCCATCTTTGATCAACATGTTACATCCACATCCGCAGCCACATCGACATCCACATTCACATCCACATCCTCCTCTCTCATCCACATCCACGCTCTCGCCCCAGATCATTTCATGCGTTTCTATGATACGTTCCTCTTCCGACCCCTCTCCGACAAGTAGCACGTGGAGTTGGCCGCTGCGTTCATGCAGAAAGGCTGCCCACGCTGCGAGTTTTTGTTTTCTCTCGTTCCCCTGCACTGGTCGCCCGCGATGCAGGGCTACGTGCTCGAGGAAGCAGAATGACACCAGATCTCGTATGTCCGTGCGACCGTGAGCGTTTGGGAATAGCTCTGGTTCATCCTCCTCCACTTCTTCCTCCTGCCGTTGATCAAGGCACGACGGAGCATGTCGACCCACGCGTGTGGGCGCGGCCGTCCGCGAGTGTTCTGCCAAGAATGTTTGTTTTTCCCGAATTTGAGAAATTGTGTTTCGAGTGGTGTTGTTCCCGTCCTGGTCCCGACCCAGAGCTCGTACTTGGGCCAAAAAACATGCTTCGAGTGGCACCGCGCAGCGCCACCTCCGTGCACGCATGCCTGCCCATGTTATGTACGCGTGTGTGTATAATATAGGGTTGGATGTTTCCATATATGAGTGTAGCATATGTATATGTAGTAATATTGAATGTATACACGCAACACATGAAGAGCCGCGCGACGGCCTGGTTCGGCGGCTGCTGGGCTGGGCCTGGTGCGACGTTGGGCCTATTTTCGCGTGGCTGGAAGGAGGAGGATCGCGATCCCTCTGGGCGTGCTCCGTGTGCCAGCAGTCTGGTGGCGATGGAATACGAGACCTATGTTGCTTCACATCAGCAATTTGGCCCCTGCTGACTTTTTTCAAAATAATATATTGGGATGAAACGCTTCCCCTGGATATATCGAGCACAGTTGATCACAACACAAACGCTCCTGCGATCCCCGCCAAAATGGCAAGAAATGGTAAGCTCAGATCCGCATGGCTACATTGCAACCGAACCGCTTGACCACCATCTCGACCGAACTGGCGGAATTCGACCACGCGTCCGACAAAATACGTTCGACGAGGGATGCGCTGCACAATGCCCCGGCCACGGGCAGCGCTACGAGGGAAAGCGGGCCCTTCGATGTGTCACTTTCAGCGCCCGTGAAAGTGACACCTCCCAGGGCCCACTTAAAGAGCACCAGAAAGGCTCCAAGAAGGCCCCGAGAAGGCCCCAGGGCGGCACCAAGAGGGCTCCCAGAGGGACCCAAGAGAGGCCCCAAGAAGGGCCCAAGAGGGCCCTCCGCGGTGTCACTTTCAACGCCCGTGGACTTCCATGGAAGTCCTGACTATGTCGACGGTGACGGCTGCGACACATTGCACGAGTCAGACCACGCGGGAGATAGCGAGAGACAGACTGTCGGTGCTGCAAGGAACCCTCCCAAGGCTCACCAGGAGTCTCAAGGGGTCGGCGGTGCGGCGCAGCCCAAGAATCCTCCTGTGGCTGGGCCGCGGCCGGACCAAGTAATTCTCTTCCGGCGGCCGGTGCCGCGCGGTGCCCCGCCGGTGCCCCGCTGGTGCCCCGAAATCCTCCTGTGGCTGGGCCGCGGCCGGACCAAACAATGCTCCTCCCACCAAACGGTGGCCCGCGGTGTCCCGCTGGTGTCCCGCAGCGGATTGCGCATTTCAAAACATCGCCGCTTGCGGCGAGCTATCCAATGCAAGTCTGCATGCAAGCCGACATGCAGACCGAAAAGCACATCAAAATGCAAATCGATTTGCACATGCAAATGCAAATCGTAAGGCGCCGTGGGCGCCGCGGCGAGCATTCCAATGCACTAGACTCCGCCCCGCAGGCATCGCCAGAACAACAATCGCCACTTTTGCCCACTGCTGCCCCCCCAAACCTCCTCATCACCCGCAGGGTGGTCGTATAGGTAAATGAATATATATATATATATAGCCCGCCCCGATTCGACGAGTACCAGAACTGCAATGATGATGGCAACGCCCGACGTGACAGACGACGGGCAACACGCTTCTTCTTCTTCTTCGTATGTGTGAAGCACGAGCCAGGCGCCGGCAGAGTATACTGCCGGAAACGAGAGGTGCAGACATGACCACCGACAGACGTGCAACAGGCGAGATTCATACAGATGAGGTCCCGAAGAAGGACGACATTAAAAAGGATTCAAGTGAGGGCGGCATGCGGGTGGGTGCACTTGAGCACAGATGCCAGCGGAGAGCACGGGCTGGCATTCGGGAAACGCGGCACTCTCACCTCAGGGCCCTGCATAACGTTGTGAAAACTGTCCAGCCCGCACTGATTCGACGAGTGCCAGAACTGCAATGATGATGGCAGCGCCCGGCGTGACAGACGACGGGCAACGCACTTCTTCTTCTTCATCATCATGTGTGAAGCACGAGCCAGGCGCCGGCAGAGTATACTGCCGGAAACGAGAGGTAC